ACACGTAAAATTTTCGGCTGATATAAATGCAAAGAATAGAAAAAAATCTAATTAGAATTTCTTTTTCAAACTGCGCGTCATAAAAATGCGTTCTCAATAATTCTTCAATTTCTCGAAACGTGAACGCGAACTTTAATTATTCCACCACCCTCGCCGACGATCAGCCGGATAGGAGGGCATCTTCGAGGACAAATCCGCGTATATTATATCACCAGATGGAAGGAAGTGGATGGAAGAGGAGCGACGAGTATTTCTAGCGCACGCTTTATTTTTATTCGAGCAATCCAATCCATTCGAGTGATCCAAATAGCGGGCTGTTGTAAACAGAGTTCGTGAAATTCCGAGTTATTAATCGCCTGAAGAATTCTCTCGATTCTCGACCGATCTTACGCCGGCCAATCTTACGAATCTTTCCTCCACTCTCCCTCCCCTTAAACATTACAGAAGCGTAATAAAGGAAAGCGGAAGGAAAAGAGGAGAAAAGAAGAAAAAACGAAGTGATCGAATCGGCGAAGGGTGTGCTTACTCGATGTGCTGCTAAAATTGACTGGATCGCCATGGTTGACGTGGTGCCAAATCTACTCTGCCGAATCGTGACGTGCTTCCGTAATCTTCTTCTTCGTCTGACGAAACGCGTAATTTCATAACAATGAGGGAAAAAATAAGAACGGAGGGGAATAAGAGAGAGAGAGAGAGAGAAGACGGGGGATGAGGCTGGCCAACGCTTGTTGCCGTTGGTGCCCGCCCAAGAGCTTTTCCTGTCTTCGTCAGGCTTGGCAGATCACCAACTGGCCATCCCTCGACGCGTTGGAAAATAACTCGGAGCAAGCGATACGGAGCACCGATCGACGCCTAATCGCCCCTTTTAGGCCACTGTCAATCCTCTCTTTTTTTGAATATGGCGCGAATTTATGTAATATTTCTAAAAAAACGCCAAATTTTTTGTCTTTTTCTTTTTTTTTTTTGTATCGTTCAATGCGGCGGCGTCATTTGGAAGGATTTTTTAAATTTAAATATTTTTTCTTTTTTTGTATCATTTCAAATCACATCAATCTTCCGTTCTACAAGTTTGAATATGGTGTCGTTTAGAAAGATTCGTAACGTAAATATTTTTGAAACGCGATTACCAATTCTTTTTTGTACGAGAAATTGTCACAAGCGTAGCGTGAAATTGATACAAATTGTGCGAGAGTAGAAATATATCCTCTTCTACTCTTGAAAATTATTTCGAATAAATTGTCCGTTTGATTAATCTTGTAATTGTAATCGTAGCATCCGTAATCGGGGATAGGATTTCAGTCGAGAAGAAAACTCGTCCTCCTCTCGTCTGGCGCAGAACACGATACACACACGATGGCCAAATTGGAGACACACCAAAATTCGAGCACAAGTTAATCTCTCGATTAACAACAAATTATCAATTATAATACTCGAATTTTACTCGCGACCAATTTCATCTAAGCTCGTCGCGGTACCAAGATTTCGAGTTTCCTTTTTTTTTTCTTTTTTTTTTTTTTTTCTTTTTTAATCGATCATAGCGAGAAGATCATACGACCGATTGCGGGATACATCATGGTTATTCCTACTTCTTGTGATTAGGCTTACCATAAGCAATGCTACAAGTGCAAAACCTGTCATCGGTCTCTGGACTCGACGCTTCATTGCGATGGTCCTGATCGCGAGATATATTGTCGAGGTATCTTTTGCAATCCAACAAAACTCTATTGCTCGTCTCTCTTTCTTTCTTTATTTTTTTTTTTTAATCTCTTCTTTTCCTCTCTCTCTCTCTCTCTCTCTCCTCCTCCTACTTATTACTCCTACCTACCGTTACGTTTA